CTTGGACCCAAAACCAGAAGTTGTCACTAATTATGACTGCAGACAAAATGCAGATGATAGGAAAATGCAAAATGCTTGAAGCAGACAGTATGCTAGCAAGAATACTTTATACCAGGTAGATAAATATCTATCCAGGTGGTATGTACCACTGTAAGGACAAGTCATTTTTATAAATTTATCCTTTGTTCTGATTAACCTCTTGGAAGCGTTAAATGTTCTTTGCCTTTTACGCTTCTCTGTCCTTGTCAAGAGGAAACTTTGTCCTTTGCACACCTCTTGTGGAAGCCTTCCGAGCAAAACAGTGCTAGGAGTTAATGGAGTCTTGAGTTACGTTGCCAGAGTTGACCACCCAGAACAGATGTTTTTCAGTAATTTCTTTCCAGTGGTTGAGATCTGACCACATTCCTGGTTTAGCCCAAGATAAAAACTATCACTTCTACAAAGGTTTCCGTGGTTCTAGTGGTATTAGGGTGAAGTTTGCTTTGACAGCGTTGAGCAGTTTCACCCTATGTTCTTAAAACCAAAGTGCATCTAACACCCATTAGAACAAATATATTTTGATATTTAGTATAAGCGTTATTTTTCTGTATTAAAGCCATGGGTCATATAAATTCAGTAAGTATATATATCCAAATAGGGGCTGATTGATAGAAGTCTGCCAGGTTTAAACTTTGTCAAATTTTTGGAAATCTTCCAAATTCTTTTTTTTTTTTCCTTACGTTGACTAAAAGATGGATGTAGGATTTTGAATTAATTACTGTGAGAAACTTCTTTGCAGAGGTACTGAAGCATCGGTCTGAGAGGAGTAAATGCTCAGCACCTTAGCTGGTTTAATTTCAGGTCCCTAAAATGCAGATTTTTTTATCAGAATTGTAACCATTTATATACCACTTCTGTGCAAGTGAACTGGTTATTTTTTGTGACTTTTTTAGTTTTAGTATGTTTTACTGTAGCTTGGCAAGGAGTTTTTTAGGTGAAAGTCAGTACCCCAAAATCGTAGGAATTCATTAGTGTGGTTTTGTACAATGAAAAGAGCATTTTTCCGCATCGAGGCTGGCTTTAAGATACATCATTTCACAAAGAGAAGCTGAGCTGCAATACTCCAAAATGCTGTGCTGCAGCATGTCTTTGGACAAGTTACAAGCTCTACGGGCATCAAAATGTGTTCTCAGCTCACATGTCAAACCCTCAGTGAAGCCAGTAGCTGATGAGAACTGAAATTTAGGTTGCTGGTGTTTCTTCGGGAGTGCCATGGAAGCAGGGAAAATGCAATGAGGACAGAAAATACTTAGTTTGCAGAAAACTTGTTAGCACTTGATGAATTCATAAAGCTTATGCAGTGCTGTCTGGGATGAAAACGGGAGTATTTGCCTTAAGCATTAAGACACAGCCTCTCTGATTTACTCTGCTCTGCACAGTCATCATGGAAAGTTGTCCCTTTCATCGGTAGCAAAGTAGTTTTAATGTAGCAGCAACAGCAGTCATTAAAACAGAAAAGTGACAGGAAACAACGTATTTTGGATGTCTTAGTGTGATTTGGTTTCCAGAAACACAGAGCCAATGTGACAACTCTTTTGTGGCCCAAATTTAAAGACTTCTGTATGTTCTACTGGAGATGACTAGTGGAGGAATATCTTTATTAATAACAAATTAAAACTTTGATTAAAAAAGTAAACAGCACACCAGTACTGCATTAGACTGACTTGTGCTTTCATATCTGTTGGCCTTGAAAATGCTTATCATCAATTCAAATACTACAAAAGTATTGAGAGAATTAGATATAAATCTATAGTACTTGAATTGCTGTATGAGAGACACAGGATTCATTTGAAGGCACAGTTATTGCTTCATGAGGGGCTTGAGGTTGGGGTGGCATTTTAAAAGCAAGGCTAAAAGCACAACCTCCCCCCATCTCATCAGGAAAAGCATGCCCTACTTCGATATGGTAATAGCACAAACCAGATCTACTCATTGGATATAAAAAAAATACATATATGGCTGTTTAAAACTGAGGGCCTGAACTACTGTTTGCCTTTTGCTGTTCCATTTTTCAAACACGTTCACAGAAGTGGTTATTTTAGGACAAGTATGTAGCAGAGACAGAACTAAAATTCAGAATGGTAATGATCTCTATTTACTGCTGGCGTTTCCGTGTCCTTCCTTGTAAATAATTGATGTGCAGTGTTATCATGATTACTACTACTGAGATGAATGCAAAAGCATTTAGAACAGCTTTTTGCATCCATTTTGTGGTCTAAAGGTCTGAGTCATTGACTCTGCAGTAGGCAGTATGAGGGTTTGGAAAGCGTGCCATAAAGATTTGCCATATTTATCAGGTGAAGTTCAACCACTCCTCACAACACATCTTGCATCTCTTGCACTTATTCATAGTCTTTGCTCTGCTAGAGCAAGAAGTGTAGTTGTTTTTTTTTACTGTTAGTGAAAGATCTGATTTTACTTAAAATCAGAACTGGGTGAATTATTGATTCATACTTTTTTTCCAAGGTTATGCTGTGGAATCTGCAGAAAGCTCGCCCCCTGTGGACCACAAACCTGCAGGAGTGTGAAATGGAGGAAGACGGTCTACAGTCAGCTGGCCAGTTCTTTAACCCACCGCTTGCACATTCCCTGTCTGTCGCAGCATGCGGCAACATCTTTGGCTGCGGAGCTCAAGATGGTAAAGTCAGAATATTCAGAGTCACCGGTGTCAAGTTTGAACGTGAGCTGGAGTTTCAAGGTCACAGCTTGGGAGTATCACAGGTCCTCTTTATGCCAGAAGCATACTGGTTGTTGACTGGAGGAAATGATGGGAAAGTCTTGCTCTGGGATGTCAGCAGTGATGTTGGAAAGCAGCAGAAAAGTCCAGCAAAATCTGTCCAGAGGAGGAAGGCCCAAGCACCTGCTTCTACCAGAAAAGATGGAAAGCTCAACAAAGTGGCTTCAAATGAACATGCTAGAGTTTCACCAAAGCTGACCATTGAGCATGGAGAGAAGGTGAACTGGATCTCATGCGCAGAGCTCAAAGGCTCCAAGAGAGTATTAGTTGCTGACCAGAGTAGTTCTGTCTCTGTGTATCCATTGCCAGAACCTTAGACACTGAGATGTTTAAAGAAATTTGTGGGGAAAAACCACTTCTCAGAGCGTTTGAAATGAGTCCAGCTACATCCACTGACAGTGAACTGAACGGTGAAACCTGCTGCGTCCTTCGGAAGGGGAAGGGATTTGCTGTGTACTCACACAAGTACTCATGATGTAACTGGCCTCACCTTACATTTTCTGGTGGCTGTTGGTATTCACTGCAGCTGTTTCTTGCAGGGTTGGCAGTTTGCTTCTTGAATTTAAGTGAAATGGGTTTCAATAGATTTAGGGATAATATTAGTTCATGACTAAGCTGACATAATTAAGGTTGAAGGAAGAAATTCACGCTAACGGGGACACCTACAATGCTAAATGAGGATGCTGAGCAGTCATTGGCTGAGTTCCTTGCATTTTGAACTATTCCAGTGCTTTACTTTACTCTCCCCATTAAACTGTGTCACAGTTAGCATAAACTGGCCATAGTGGAAATATATTTTTCATTAGTTTGTCAGCAGCTGCGTATAAGACTAGAGAAGCATCAACTAACTAATGAGTAATCAAATTACTTAAACAGTTGTTGTCAATTGGATTTTTTTCACACTGCAGTAAGTGAAAGAGCAGGGGAAAATGTTAACATCAGTTTAATGGGTCAGCTGTCTTACGCATTTAGTTGTTTACCCCACGGAAAAATAACTATTAGACTTGTCTGAATAAATGCTTTCTCTCTCACTGCTCCCTTGTGCTTATACTCACTCTAATACTGCCAAACTTATGTGCCGTGCAAAATTGTGTCAAGAAGGGTATCCCCCCATCACAGGGGGAATACAAAGGGCCAAAGGCACTGCTCCTCCTTACCCAAATACTCCCACTGTCTTCCCAAAGCTTTAGAAACACAACAAGCAGAACTTGGCCATTATGGCTTGCTAGAAGGATCTCTTAATTTGCAAGTTGAAGGTGGGGAGAATGTAACTAAGTGGGAATGCTGCAGCTCTTGACATGTTCGATTCATGCTGGCCTTCTCATGGAATGGGCAAATAATTGAAAGAAAGGTTTTTTTCTCAGGCTGTCCTTAAGTTTTCACAAAACTGAATGCCTGGTACTGGCTGAAGACCTGCTTCACTGATGTGGGGTTTGTGCTGCCTTGTTTCACTAGCTGTGCTATTACCAGACACACATTACCTATCTGCCTTCTTTTTTTCTTTCTGATGGAAAAATTACCAGCTCTTTTTTTGCATACCCAGCTCCTGAAAATCATTAGCCTGGCTGTCCATCCTTTATGGAAGAGATTCCAGCCGTCTTGGTTTAGCTATCCTTCATCCTCAAAGGAGCTCCCTGCAACCAAATACAACTCATTCTCACCCAAATCTGATTTTACCATCATACCTTTTAAACAGAAAAAAAAAAAAAAAAAAAAAAAAAAAAAAAAAAAAAAAAAAAAAAAAAAAAAAAAAAAAAAAAAAAAAAAAAAAAAAAAAAAAAAAAAAAAAAAAAAAAAAAAAAAAAAAAAAAAAAAAAAAAAAAAAAAAAAAAAAAAAAAAAAAAAAAAAAAAAAAAAAAAAAAAAAAAAAAAAAAAAAAAAAAAAAAAAAAAAAAAAAAAAAAAAAAAAAAAAAAAAAAAAAAAAAAAAAAAAGCCAAAAAAGTAATCTGCTTGTACAGCCTTTAACAGCAGAAGACTTTAGCCCAAGGCACGAACTGGTGGGCACAACAGCAAAATGAAGCCAAAACACAGAAAAAAAAGCAGAATAGTGTAGGTACCCCCTTTCCTGTCACCTCTAAATTAATTTTGTATGAGGACAGACAGGATCAGTGGGTCCAGGAAGCAGTCCAGATGCATAGTTCCATATGTGATATGTTCACAAGCATGTGTCTGTGCATCTATGACCTATATTTGGATATACAGTCTATAAAAAGCCTTGATACAAACAACCTCCAGCAGGAGTCAGATCCCCTGTCCCTGTTGTTGCTGCCTGCTTCAGGAGGGAGGATCAAGCCCACTCTGGCTTTTATTTCTTCTCTTCGTGCTCTCCAGGAGGATGGCTAAAGCCCGCATCTCTCTGCGCTCCCTGAACGAGACGTTAAACAGGTCATTGAAGGGTTGTGCTAGGACTGCGCTAAGGGTCAGGGAAGGACGATGGGTGTAGAGGACTGGGGCGGGGAGAGGAGACAGGACTATCTTAGCGCAACAAACCTCTGCTTCCTTGGAAATTTTCGGAGGTAATAGGGAGGATGTAAATATACATTGTGTGTATGTGGGAAGGGAGCGGTTCATGAGCAATCTTCTGTTTCTCCTTTACTCATTGGGGAGGGAAGGGGGATAGAGCCCCAAGCTGCACTGTTTCGTGAACGCCATTCTGGCCAGCCTGCAAACTGCTAGTCCTGGCAGTTTGCTGCAGGATTTGTGCAATTACTCCATCAGCAAAGGCGTGTCACTGCGTGAAGTGTTGCTGGGTGATTATGGGTAACGGGAAGTTCGGGTTCGCACTCTGCTACTGTTGTAAATGGGAGATTTGGGATGAACTGAATTTGGGAAAATGCCTCAGAGTCTGGAGGGTTCAAAGGTAGGAGGTAAGTGGCTATCATTAACAAAAAAAAACCAAAATGAGAACAGACCTTTCTTGTAAGTTTAAAGAAAGAAAATCACTGTCACTGAGGAATTGGGACATAGGTGACGCTGACTCACCTTCCATTTTCAAAGCCTGTACTCGGAAGAGGAAAACTTGGCCGACAGGTTCATTGGCTTCATGTAAAATAATCCAGCCCAAGCTGCCCCCACTGGCACCAGTCCACGTGTTCAGCTGCAGTGCGACAGCACAGTCGCTGGTAGATGGTGTCTCTAACCAGCCGGGCAGACAACAATCGTGGGATCAAATGCAAGCCACGAGCACGGTAAGACAGTGTTCCCTCTCAGTGCACTTTCACATATGGCTTTTCATATACTACCTTAAAGGTACTGTGCAAATGGTATCAAGCACCGGCTGATAGACTTGGTAAGAGACTGCTCCTCTCGTCAAGATACTACCGTTGTTCACCAACGGGTTTTATAACTCCCGACTCACAGAACGGTAACCACAAAAACTAGAGACCTGACCAGAGAGAGAAACAAACACGGGAACCACCCCTGAAAGGAAAAGTGAAAACTAAGTCTGTGGGAAACTGATTGAAGAAGTGTGCATCTAACTGGTACCATGAAGTGAGCGTACAGGAAGAGCTGTGGAGAAGTGTGGGGCTCTGCGTTGGCCTGGAAAATAAAACCGATGCGACAGCTCTAAAGTAATGAAAAATGTTATTTTCTGTAAATGCCTGAACCACGGAAATAAGGTTACGCATACAACCACGCTTTCAGAAAAGTGGGAGTGCTAGAGCTCTTACTGCAAATCTTACAAGTACAGTTCTGTATGCTAACAAGAAGAGAAGAACTTGAAAAGCTTTCTGGTAAAGAATGTGGGGATGTGGTTTGTGCATATGCTAGACAGACATCAGAGGTCATCCACTCTATGGTAATTTCACTTACATTGAAGGAAGAAGCGTTTAGAGGTTGTGACTGAAATGAAAGCAGGAGGTTTAATCCATTCTTCCTCGTTTCATTCAGAACTTGGATCAAGAGACAGCAGCGCTGATTCTATCAGCATTTACAAAAAGCTGTAGAAGATTCGTTATGGAGATGGGTCATGCCATGGTGTAACTGAACAGGTGCTTTTAGAACACACATTAGCAAATGCTGAAATGTTTGCTATAGATGCTTAAAAATACGCAAGCATAATTTACAGACAGGCAATATACCCCATATTAAAAAAGTGCTGGGAAGATAAAACTGGTCAAATTCTAAAGCATTGGACTAACGGCTGCTGAAAAACAACTACAGCCCTGACAGTAGCGTTAATGATGAGATCTTTGAGAACTTTTACTATTACTTGTAGAGGAGAAAGCTCGCAGGAATGGGCCATTAGGAAGCTTATTTACCCTGATAAAAAGCTGCAATCGGGGAGCAATTCTCAGGCAAGTCTTTCCCCCAGGACAGCACTCATTGTCCACCCAGCAAACCTTCCAGAATACACGCATTTTCTGACAATTCCCCCCTCTCTCTCAAAGAGTGCTTGCACCGTGTTATTCCTAAAACTTTTACTATTGGGGTTTCTGCACTGCCACATTGTATTATCCTATTACATTGTTGTTCTCTGCTTGTGCAGCTATAGGTATGAAGTGGATCTGAAACTTATTCACAGCAAATACCAACCCACCTCACCTCACCTCAGCTTATGCACTTGCTCTCTCTGTGTTGACAGACTCGATCCTGTTATGACATATCAGCTCTTCCAATTATTCTGAGCTATCTGCATTTCTACATCACACAAGCTCAATTTTCCAATTTAAGTCCTATTTTAGTCCTAAAATTCTCATGGCAAGCATGCACACATAAATACATTTGAATGGGTGAAGCCCCCACGAAAGTTAGTCCAGGAATGATGTGCAACACGATGGACGATAATTAGTTGAAATCCAACACCCAGTAACAACTACACCCAGTTTCAGAATCTCTACTGTGACCCAGCAGGTGACAGGAGGCTCTGAGAAATAAAAATCTTGCTGAAGCAAGAGAAGTCCTACCAAAGTAAGATCAGGATGTAAGCAGCTTTCACAAGATCATACAGGAGTCTCCTAGCCTCAGGAAACAACAGAAAATCATTAGACAAGGATCTGCACAAGCTGCCAGACAGATAATGAATTAAGGTCAGGGAGACTTAGAAAAATATGCCACAGTTTATGCCTTTTTATTTCCTCCTTGTTCAGGTCAACTGCAGACAGTACCCAAAGCAGAAGAGGAAGGCAAGTAGAGGAGGGAGCTACTGTTAGCAAAGCAATGGTGTTCTTGGTCCTTCTCTTAAAACAACAGGCTTTAAAATACTGTGGAGTATGCATGAAAGAAGGGAAAACTATTGGTAAATTATGTAATCTGCCATTTATACAACCTAAAGTTTACCTCTGTTTGTTTGGAGGGTTTTTTTGTGGGTTTTGTTTTGTTTTTTTTTTTAATGTCATCACCTGAAAGCTACTGTGTATTTTGTCCTTATAAAAAAGTTCAGCCAAAGATAAACAAAATAGTACCACAACAAGGTAAAGACCTTAATACAGTGTTTAACACAGGAAGGTCACAATTCAGAATCCAATTCCCTAAACATTAGAACAATACAATAACAATAGTAACCGAAGTAGTGGAGCAAACTGGGGATGAAGGAAGAGAGTCTAAAGAAAAAAATGTAGGGTCTTGCCCATAATAAAATTTACTGATGGCATGGTTTTCGTTTAACTGAAACAGCCTGAAGTTCTGCCAGTAAAATGCAGAAAAAAATCACAAAAGTCTATAAGGAGTAGCTGATGTTCAAGTAGTAAATCGCTTGTCAAGTACACAGTACTGAGGTGTTTGTTCGGTAATTAGGAAGGAACTTTGAATGATTCATATTTTGATAGCTTTGAGACCCTCAGGATTCTCAGGAACATGCCTTGACGTAAATCAGCTAACTGAGGCAAACTTAAAGAAAACTGCCTTTATGAAAACCACCCCCAGAAGGACAGAAGCCCAGCATACCCTACTTCTTGAGTAAAGAGCAACAAACGGGTACAAAGCATAAATACTTTCATTCCCTCATACTTCGTCCCTAAACACTGTAAGTTCTTTTAAACTGGGCAGTTTTCTTAAGCAAAAGTGGAGTGGAGTAGCTCAAACTCAAAAACTTGTCTTTAGGATTATAATTTAAGAGAGTACAAAAATGCACCTTTTTTTCTTTTTGCCCCTTTTTTTTTTAAGAAGAAATGCAATAGATGAAAGTAACGAAAAAGCAGCTAATAAATACCAGCTACGAAACAGTTTCTCACTGCTGTTTCACTAAGGTCTTCTTATCACACAGTTGTTCTGTGGAAGGACAGTCCTATAAAAGGGAAAACCAGAGCAGGACGAGCTGACGGGAGAAGAGGAACACTGCGGGTGGCTTGTTTGTTATTTGCATAATTTTTAATTTGAGGAAGAACAAGAAGTTCTGCTCAATGTCAAATGAAAACGGTTCAAAAGATCATACTACGAGTAAAAGCACAAATCACCTCAGAGTGTATTAGAGAAAAAAACTACGCCACCAACATTGATGCAAATGGTTGACCTGCAGACCTATCTAAATACAAACCTTGCATCTGTATTTACAAGTTACAAGACCTCTGCACCAGGGAGGGGCCAAAAAGACCTGGGCCATGTCAAAAAACCTTAATTTCTAGTGGTGTATGTTCTCATACAGCTTGGGAGGAGCGTCAGAATGGGTTCTGGAGCTGTTCACAGTGCAACGTGTCACCCACCGTCACGGCAGAAGGCACCACCATTGATGCCCAAGTCCTTATGAAATGCCCTTGTTTTCCATCCTTCAGAGTAGAAACCAAGCTGCAAACCTTGGAGGCTCAGTTCACAGGCCTGGACTCAAGCTTGCAGAAACTGGCGCAGAAGTTTGAGCTGCAGGCCAAGATGCTGGAGAAGGAGATGAGCCAGGACGCTCTGTGGCCGTGGGCGCCAGGGGAGAGGTGAGCACAAGGGAGGGATGGGTCAGTCCTCGTCCTGCATGCGCAGGTGACACTGGTGTAACTGTGGGTGGACTCCAATGTGAGGCTGTGCAACCCATACTGACATACATACCTTTCCCAGTTGGGATTACTATTTACTGCAGAAATGGGCAATATGAGGAAAAAGTACAGTTCCTTTGATCATTGTTTCTTTAAAAAACAAAACACAGCCTATGAAATATTTATGTGGTTTAAAAACAGCCATGCCGCTTCCAAGATAGCAGGGACATCAAGTCTGTTTGCATAGCTCTGTCCCACAGTAAGCGAAGGAAGAAAAAACTCCAACTCATTAACACTATGATTACTTTCTCCAGTTAAATAAGGCTAGAAGATTCACATTTTTAGCACCCAGGCTAGGCTTTGTTAATACACATATTTAGTCTTTCCATCTTCCAACTGAGAGTTTCTGGAGCAGCTCTTCCTTTCCGCACACCCAGGGCAACAGGCTCTAGTCAGGCTGCCTTTCAGCAAGATCTGTTGGAAACGATTTATGGCTGAAATACTTGTTTAGACAATAATACTGCAGCACCGCGAGGAGACGGACGCGCGCCCCAGGGCCCGCCGCGGGCTCCGGGGGCTGGGTGAGGCGGCGGAGGGCCGGTAGCCCCGGGGTGGGCCTGCCTTCCCCCGGCTGCCCCGCCTGAGGGCCCTCGGTCTCTGTCTCCCGGCAGGCTCGGCTTGGAGGAGGGGGAGCGAGAGGCTGGGCGGCG